GACGCACATGTGGACTGAGAAATCGACACGTGGTGCTTGCATGCGGGGAGAGAGAAAAGGTCAACGACGATCACGCACGCCCGCTAAGCGTGAGGATCGACCGTTAGTCAGGGAATAGAGGGCATCAACACACTCATGCAAGTAGGCAGACATCCCATACTGAGAGAATGTTAACAACAATCGTATTTTTCATCACCACTTCAGGACACCCTTCACCACTTCAGGATGCAGCCTGCCTAAACAGGTGGTTTTCAGGGTCTTCGGACCTTTCACCACTTGAGGACCATTCAAGTCTGAAAATCCTGAATGGTTGGAAGTGGTGAAAACTCCGAAGACCCTAAAAACCACCTGTTTAGGCAAGCTGCATCCTCAAGTGGTGAAGGGTGGTTTTCATGGTCTTCGGAGCTTTCACCACTTCAGGACCATTAAGGATTTTCAGACTGCCAAAAACTCTCACTTGACCACTTCAGGACACCTTTCACCACTTGAGGATGCAACCTGCCTAAACAGGTGGTTTCCAGCGTCTTCGGACCTTTCACCACTTCAGGACCATTCAGGATTTTCAAACTGCCCAAAACTCTCACTTCAGAATTTTCATTCCTGAATTTTCAGCTACCTGATAACCGCTTGTGCCCATACCCCCCAGGGTTGCATTCATGTGCGCAAATGCAACCAGGACCATTATCCAATCTTTCCACATTTATACATTCATAAACCTTTGGATAGTGAAGCATTCAACATCCATACACACTCGCGATCCAAGCCATGCACACATATGAGCATCCACACTTAGTCTTTAGCGCACACAACCAATTGACAAAACAACAATGGAGAAGAAGCGTGTCCCTCGCTATTCAAAATCACATCAACACTAACACTCTCTGTGCTCAACCACCAAACCCGACCGAACACCAACCAGCCATAGCCACAAGGCCCTGCCGTTGGCGGCATTCCCGTCTCCACCACCACTCAGTCCCTCCGACTGCCTTACCTCGTAGAAATGACATCCACATCGGATTGAGACGTGAAGATCCCTCAATCACCTCCAAATGAATGAAAGTTGGCACCACTGGATGGTCGAGGTTTGTTCGATTGATATTCCTACTCTGCGGAACTATTATTGTTAATGACTAGCACAACCCCGGGTGCAGCATGGGGGCATGATGCCTTGCGATGAAGGGGGAAGGGGGTGTGGGATGCACAACTCCAGAAGATATCCCTCCTCCTCTTGCGGTTGCTGCTCTGCCGCCTCCATTGAGATTGAGATCCAGGAGAGCGAATAGAGAGAGCGTTGTCAGTCCATGTTTTCGCAGTCGACACAACGATAACGTCGACCACCATGATGGGGTCGGCGTGAAATTAAAGTGCGCGTGCTTTTGCATAACACTTTAGGACGATTTCCTCGACCAATGAGATTGAGGCTTATCGATAAGTAAATCTTTTGTTAGTATGCGCACGCCTTATTATAATGCTCGCTATGATGATGGTTAGGATCAGTAATAATGTCATTCAACTAAAGAGGCCGAGGATTGAATTTATTATAACCAAGCCCACACTCCGACCTCGATGGCTAGAAGGTGCCTAAACCAAATGCGCACAAGGCGTGTGCCTTGACACGATGCACGATAAAATTAAGGAGCATGAAAATATTAAAAATTCCTCAATCACAAAGATCAAGGGGATCGATAAGATTAGTGTTTTATCACGTAAACAAATGATCTGTGGTGACGATTTATGGGGCCAACCACTCACTCCGCAATAGACTCGAAGGTGAGTTAACCGAAAGACCCGAATGTCTACCACATCTTGACTACGATAGATAAACCTACCTACAAATGAGACTTCGACTCAAAGTTATAGCCTAACTTAGCTTAGTACTCTTCTTAAAGTTGGGCTGCTCCTATTACACCCAAAGTAGGAGCTAGCTCAGTAGGCTTAGGGACAAATTGTCAAGTGATATATACAATGAACAACTCACCTCGACCTGAGATAGGTCCTTTTTAGCAGTTTACCTTCACACAGGGTCATATTTTGAACCCGCATTCAGCCGAAAGGGCTCGAACCCCGTGACTTAGAGCTTAAGAATGAGTCGGAGTTAGTTGAGTTTGCGCAACGAGAACAATTATTAGTTGTATTTGTTAGATTTTTGTGTTCTTAGTATTTATGTCGTTATTTTTTTATTTTTTTTTATTTTTTTATTATTAACTTGTTGGATAATTCGGGGTAATTTTTATTTGGTTACAAGGAATCTGCCCCAAATTAAGAGGCAGATTCATTTGGGAGAAAACCAAATGCAAAGTCTCGTTGCAGCTCGGCTTGAAATGAGGACAGAAGTGGTGGCAGGTGAAAGCGAGGCTCACGCATGATGTTGCAAGGTAGGAGCTGGGTGCTCAACAAGTGAGACAGCACACTCGTACTCGCGTACGTGTGACAACAAAAAAAGTGCAGCAAAAAGGTGATGAAAAGTGCAAGGAAATGGTCGTATGGATGAAGAAGATAGCAACGCAGAGGAAGGAGGATGAGGTATTTTTTTTGCGCCCTCGTACACAAATGGAGGGTTTTGGCCGGTTCGAGCATGTAGGATGCGTGGTGCACTCGTTTCTATCTGGCCTCGTGTTTCTCGTGACAGAGATGACGTGGAAGATCGGCGTGGTTCATTGGGGATGTGGGAAGGGGACGAGGGTTGGGATCGCAACTGGCCGCTCGCGAGGTGATCGGCGAATATCGCCAAGAACCGATGCAAAGATCGGGAGGAGGTTATACCCTTGTCGGGCGAGGACGTGCTGCCACACGTTGGACACTTACTCCGTTCACTCGCGCAGCGAGTTCAAGATCGCGGTATGCCACTGCGGATTGACCGAGCTGATGTTGCCGCTGAACGCCACAACTGTGGTGACGTGGCTCGTTCTGGGGCCCGCTCGCCGATAAACTGCGGTTACCTCCGCGAATACTACTGCATGAGGACTTCCTTCGATTCGAAACGCGGCGGCGGCACAGATACCTTCGTTGCAGAAGAATCGCATCAAACGCCGAAGATCTGCATTGAGCCGAGGGTGACAAACTTGCCGAATCTCTGAGATGTGGCCACGTGGCTGCAACAGTTGTGCGTCAAGAACCCGCTCCGTGATAAAACTCATAGTGAGGTGGGAGAGGAGGACAAAGGACAAGAGAGAGAAACGGGAAAGAGAGTTAGATCGTCGTCGTTCTCCTCGCTTTCCGAGGAAGAAGAGGGAGGAAAATCAGAAGGAGGAAGAAGACGGAGGTAGGAGGTATGACGGACGATGGGGACAGAGTTATGGCTGACACTAGCCTCAGGCGTGATGTGCACCGTGTTGGCGCCGTTGGATCCAAGCTCGACAACGAGAAAACAGCCAGAAAACTTGGAAGTGAGTTTCCGGTCGCGTGCACATTTACGTACCTGCACTAGGTCCCCTAATTTATATTGATGCTGGGGCCCAGCATTTCCATTCCGAGCCTCGTAGCTACGAACCTGTCTACCGTGGGCCAGTTCGATCATCCTTTGCTTTTTTCGGGCTAGCTTCGGGACGGCCCGTTCCATTAATTCGGTGTACCTTTTGGTCTTGGCCTTGAGAGCTGCACGCTAGGTCTCTACCCCCTGCTTCGGCAATTTCCGAGTTACCCCGGTAGTCGACACAGGGGAGGCTATTAGTTCGAAGCTGAAAAGGGGTAAACCCCGTGGACTCATGAGGGGTGGCCCGGTGGATCCCGACGATCTGATATACGATCTCGGGCCAAGGACGCGTGTGATGTGCCGCTAAGTTCCTGCGAAGGGCGGTTTTAATCATACGGTTGGCATTTTCGGCCAACCCGTTTGACTGGGACACGTGGGGTGCCGTATGTCGGAGCGTGACGCCCCTTCGCACAAGCAGTTCTTCTACCTCACCCTTGAATTCGGACCCATTGTCGGTCAGAATTTCTTCCGTATCTAGATGGGTATAGTGAAACGGTTCGATGTACGTAGCTATTTCTGCGGTTTTTCGGGTCTTACAGGGATAGACTTCGATGTACTTGAAAAAATGATCTATTAATACTAGCAGGATAGAATATTCACAGCGGTTTGGGCCAGGTGGCACGTCGATATCTGTCTTGTCCATATTGACTCGTTGGAAAGGACGCTCTACTTCCGTTGGTACGGTCGTGTTTGGTCCCCGTATAGGGGTGTGACCAGCGGCACAGACCAGACAGTTAGCGACAATTTATTTGACATCATCTCGTATATTGGACCAGAACCATCGGTTCTGATCTACAGTTGCCTCTGTGACACGTATTGCAAAATGAGCGGCATGTTCTTCGTAAGCAGATCGGATCCAATCATATCTCTGGAATGGATGGGGAACCATCAACCACGAGCCCGAACCGTCAGTTTTACATTTTTCCAAATGACCCTTGACCCATCGATAGTCCCGAGATCTTTCGGCCGCCCTACGTCTGTCGTGTTTGGTGAGGTGGCCCAATGATAATCGCGCAAATTTTGCCAATAAAATTTTATCCGTCCAAACCTCCGCTCGTCGGTATTTTTCGTCATATGCAGGGCCGTCCGTACGGGCGGCCTCGAATCGAACCTCCGTGGGGAGTTTGTTCGTTCTACACAGGGGGCACCTCCATTCCTTGCTATTCGTCCGATATCGAACGGAGGCCCCGTGCGCACGATTGACACACGTGGCACATTCTACCCAGTCGACAAACCCGGTTTCGAAAGGATGGCAGTCGACCCCATAGACCCGTGCAATGCACGTGCAAAAATAACAGAATTTATTAGGGAGGGTGGCAAAGAAAGCTGAGGACGTGAGAGGGGCAGAATTAGTAGGAGATGAAGGGGTAGCGGAGGCAAGTGGGGTAGTCATTATGACACAGAAGGAAGGGATGCAGAGAGGGTAGAACAGACCAATGAGTCCTCGTGTCACTCACTGCTTCGATAAGATCTCCACTTGGCCGTACCGAGGTCCGATCTCCTGTTCGGGTTCGTTCCACGAAATTACCTCCTCACTCTTCGGAACCTTTTCAAGTCAGTGCAGTCGTGTCAGTCCGTCCGCATTCCCATGTCTCTCGTGCTTCCGATGACGAATGTCAAAGTCCATGCTCTGCAGCACCGTTGCCCATCGCCTGATCATGCCAGAGTAATCCTTCGATTTCTTCAGAGCCAACAGGGGCTCATGATCAGTTACCAAGGTAAACTTTCGCCTGTACAGGTGGCTGATTCCCCAGAGAGCCGCATAGCATTCCCCCGTCGGAGCAGCGTAGTTGCGCTTGCAAGCTGGCACGCATTTGGAGGCATACTCCACCACACTCTCGAGTCCGCTTGGTCCCACCTGGGCAAGGATCGCCGAAATCGCCTCTGGCTGCCAATCAGTGATGAGAACAAAAGGCTTTTCGTGATCCGGTCTTATAAGGACCGGAGCCGAAATGAGAACGGCCTTGAGTTTGAAAAACGCTTGATCGCACTCCGGCGTCCAAATCAACGACTGATCTTTGCGCAACAGATTCGTGAGGGGTCCCGCAATCGCCGTGAAGCCCTTGATAACTCTTCGGTGGTACAAGGCCAGGCTCAGAAAGGCGCGAACTTGCGTGATAGTTGTAGGCACTGGCGCATCCTTGACAGCTTTGTGGCTCCGGCTGGAGTCCCTTGTCTGTCACCACGTGCCCTAGGAAGGAAATGGTGGTGAGAAAAAACTGACGCTTCTCAAGCGCCACCTTGAAGCCCGCATCCCGTAACGCGTGTAGTGCCCATTCGATGTGCTACACGTGTCCCTCGTAGGAACTCGAATACACTAAGATATCATCCATATACACAATCACGCAGTAGTTGACGATGCTCAGTGCCAAACGAGTCTTTCTCACGAAATTCTGAAAAGACATGTTCATGGCTTGCTGAAAGGTCGCAGGGGCATTGCAGATACCCATCGGATATCGAATCCACTGCCATGTGCCCTCGAAAAGTACAAACGCTGTTTTCGGACAATCTTCTTCTCGAACAAGAAGATGATGGAACCCATGGCGAACATCAAACTTGCTGAAAAATCGAGCACTCCCAATCGCATCCAACAATTCATCAATCAAGGGGAGGGGGTACACATCTTTGATCGTGATATCATTCAACTTTCGATAATCAATGCAAATGCGAATCCCTCCGGCCTTTTTAGGCACGATTACTACGGGAAAAGACCAGGGACCTATGGCGGGTTCGATCCATCCATTAGCTTCGAATTCCTTAATCCGCTGAAAAGCGGCCGCTCTTTGAGCTGGCGAGTATCGGTAAGGAACGCAGCTAATGGGKGGATGGTCTCCCGTGAGAATGGCATGCTCGATCACATTAGTTAAGCCGATGTCATTATCGTGTATGCTCAATACTTCTGCGTAACCGTTTAACACACAGATTAACGACTTTCGAAGTTCCGCAGGAACGTGACTCGGTAGGGTGATTGTTGATTCCCCGAAAATCTTAAGGGGCATATCGACCCAATCAACCGGCCATTTCTGTCGATCATAAACACTAGAGAAAACGGAACTACTGGTGCAAACAGAGAAAACAGTTTCTATCATCTGGGACTGAGCGGGGCTGATCATTTCCGTTTCTTTAGTTTCAGCATCAGTCTCTGAACCAACCGAGGTCGGTTCCACAGTTAGCCCCGTTAGATCCGTCATTTCCTGCATCAGATCAGGTACATCACTTACCGGCGCTTCCGCCTCTTGTTTAATCCCTGGGCGGTATCCATCAAAGCGGCCACTCATCCTTGATTCACGGCCACGGGGGCCGCCGCAGGTGGGGGCTGACTACGTTTTGACTGCAGGCAGTCTCGGGCGAAATGTCCGAGTTGTTTGCAGTTAAAACACTCGATCTTTCCGGTTGGATTGGCTAGGTGAGGGAACCGAGGTGCGTACCCTGGAGCAGGCGGGCAAGTAAGAGCAGAAATGATGCGGGGGTCGGCCGAGCAGAGGCCGGGTTAGGCTTGATTAGCCTACTCATTATCTGTTCCATCTGTTCCATGTGAGCGGCTTGCATTTGGATCAAGTTGCTCATCCATTCGATCTACTTGGTAGTGGCCGTATGGATCATCTAGGCAAGGTGTAAGTTGGTTATGGCCGGCAAGGAGGGTTTGGGTGAGATTCCGCTTTTAACGACTGCGATCGATTAATTCACCGGGGAAGAGGAAGAAGAAGCAGGCGGGGTATAGGAAACGATCCCGCCGGGAAGGTCATGGTCGGGGTGGGGATAAAACCGTTCGACTGCCTGCAGCCATGATCGCCTTTTAGCCGTTACATCCCGTATGGTATCTGTAATGTCTTTGTCTCCCTGGCTGATATACTTTTTTATATCAGCCAGGTCCAGTTCCAATGCTTTAGTGATGATAGTCAATAACTCATGTGTTTTCGGCGGGACCTTTTTCTGCAGTTTGCCTTTCAATGTAGGACTTCGTAGATGGTCGATGAACAAATCTCGAGCGGATTTCTCGTCTCGCCCGGATTTGTCCAGCGTGGTTTGAAATCGATCGACGAAATCGGGTAACAATTCCCCTGGTCCTTGAGGCCGATTTTTTAGCACGTACCAGGCGGCATCTTCGCTGACCGTATCGAATCGAGCCAAGAAGGCTTGCTTGAAAGTATCCCAATCTACCCACGTGTGTTTTCTAAACCAGTCATGCGACATATTGCAGAGTAGCAATGTCAGAACGCGAGGAAGATCGACTGCGCTGTAGTTTTGAGCTTATACAGCTTCCAGCCAAGCCTCGGGATGGGTGTCATTAGGGAAGAGAGGGAAGGGGGCGGGGATACTAACGATCACCCTAGTACCGTCCACCATTAGTGCTGCGCATGCAGCCGCACTAGACTGAGACCGGGTCACTGGGCGATCCCGACGAGCTAGTTGAGGGTCTCTCCTACCTCTCGCCAGTTCCACTTACTATCATCAGAACCGACACGTGTCGGCTCCGATACCAACCTCACGCCCTGTGTTGTTTTTCGTTCGGAGTGTTAGGCGTGCGGAAAAAGGCCCAGAAAAACAGCAAGATGGGGTGTGCCAAGGATTTTTGGAAATTGAGTGTGGGGACACATATGGAACTGAAATCCCCCATGTTGGTCCAATAAAGCAAGTCGATTGCTTTCGCGCGTCGCGGAATGCGCGCGCGGGCACGGCCCAAAAAGAGAAAAATCCAAATTCAATCCAAAAAGTATTGTCGGGCTTCCCACGGAGCTACAGCCCATCGTTTAGAACGAAAAGGATTTGGCACGCTCCGCGTGTCTCATTTTCGTATCAAATCTCGTCGTCGTTCGATGGTCAGTTCCGAGTCCGACGTGGATGGTCTCAGTCGCGTGGCTCTTTCTTTATGCTCGTCTTCACTCCTCACACGGTAGTGGAAACCCCTGGATTCGTAGCGCTCAAAACGCTGGCATTCGGTGCATAGAGTGCGCGGCCAGTGGGGTTCTACTACCGTCCATGGGATGACGATCAACTCGTTGAACAGCAACAATATGGAGTAAGGTGGGAAGTGCGTGTCGATAATGACAAACCCAACCTCTACGAACCCTGAACAACGATTTGCCGGAGGGAAGTAGTATCGTCTGCCGATTTGTGCGACAGCTTCTCGCACGTCCCACTCGCATACACATGTCCTTTCCTCGTTGTACGGAAAAGGCCGTGTTGGGACGGGAGGTACGGGAGGCTGGTGCCCAATCGGAGGGTACTGGTCGGTCCACATATCAATCAATTGTAAAGACCTTGCGACGTCATCAAGAAAAGAAAACACTCGCGCACCTCATAAACAATTTTCTTCAACACGAGAGGGAGAGAGAGAGAGAGAAAAAGAAGACATGTCAGCAGCTTGATCATGCATATAACTAAGGGACCGATCCGCGACTCAGGTTTAATGAGTCAGCACGACGTTGGTCCCAGGCACCTTGTTTCTCGAGGCCGCCTCATGGTTCGGCTGCTGATGTCGGACATCATAAGGCAGATGGCGTGCGCAGTGCACTCAAAGCTACAGATCTAAACACTCTTGCATTCTCGGACAAAATCCCGACGACAATCGTCTAATCAATGCCGAAGAGACGCGCATTTCCATACATTCATTCACTCTGGAAGATGCGAAAAATGAGCCATGCACAGGAAAAGATGGATCGCTTGCACAGTACACATGCATCCACCGTTCACAAGACAAGAAGACGGGGTCCTTGCGCAGGAGGATTACCCAGGAAAATAATGGAAGAGTTCCGGAAGAAGTTCTTTCACGCAAGGAAAGCATACAGATTCATGCTCGTCCAGAAGAGGGAAAGAGAGAGAGAGAGAGAGAGAGAGAGAGAGAGAGAGAGAGAGAGAGAGAGAGAGAGAGAGAGAGAGAGAGAGAGAGAGAGAGAG